ACACACACACACACACACACACACACAGCAGGCCTAGACAGGAGGAGGACATAGTGTAGGTACACAGAACATACCTATAACATTTAAATGTGACCTAACAAAGGTAAAGGGCAAATATTAACCATATATATTGTTTATACTGCTTGTAATTGGGATAAGGTAAACATCTGTTCAGTATTTTAACATAAAAGTGTTGATTGTGAGGCATCAAAAGCCACAAAATGCAACGGGTCCATCAGACCCACAAACACTGGCTGAGTAACAACAATATGAACATTACACAAGGGTTAACCTGAGAAATTAAAGGTTTTTATAATCAATGAAATAATAATCAATTGTAGAAACATGTACTGGTCTGTTATGGAGTTGTTACATCTATACCAGTGGTCCCCATCCATTTTGGTTCCAATGACTGGTCAGACAGTATCAATGGGAACTGTATTGATGATGTGGCCCCTGGTGAAAATGAGTTTGACACTCCTGGTCTATGAGGAGGGGAGTAAAAATAGCTTTGCTCGGACATGTCTCCAGGGGGCGTTAAAGTCCACCACAACTATCCTCACAGCTGTTGGGTAAACTATAGCCCCTAACTGAACCTGGGACCTCTGAAATTGTCTGTAGGACTTGGAGTGTAACATGTGTCTGAATTGCTTGTCAGACTGTGCATCTGAAAAGGTCAACAAGCAACAAGCAGGTAATAAATGAGTCTGAGGTGGGCTGCATGTGTGGGCGTAATTGGGCTGAAGATCCAATACAGGGGAACAGTGACTTATGGGTAATTACCTGCAATGTCCTGAGAAGAGGAGCTGTGAGTGGTTGTCTCTCTGATTCAATCAGCCCAACGCAGAGCAGCTCAGTAAACAGCTTCTGTCTTAATTGTCCAATAAGCTTTCTCCCTGATCCACAGCTACATCTGCAGCCAGTTTCCCTCTCTGCTGACAAACACACACACAGAGAGAGACACAGAGAGAGAGAGAGAACTTGTGAACTCATTCACACAAAGTGATCTCTGTTGCTGAAAAACAAGTACGCATTTTTCTCCATGTAACTGCTACACGAATGCACACAATTCACGTCTGTCTCGCTCACATACATACGCTCCCATTTGCATGTTGTTTGAACTCTCCGACCACAGACACAGACACGGACTGCTGTTTCCCCATGGAGTCATGTGGCCATACTTCACACCGTGAAATTTAAAAATGTGACCAATGATGAGGAATAGAATTGTATGTTAGGTTTTAACCATTAGATTCTTCAGAGAAAAGATATGATTGATTTATATTCATATGTCATGTGCTATGGATACTGTATAATGAAGCCCAAGAATGTAAAGTGTCATTTACTGCGTCCATGGTGTTTGTCCGAAACAACCCACGCGTGGACAGAAATCAGACGATACTACATTTCATGACAGGCTAGATGAAAACATATTCATCCATTACTTGAAAAAATATAAACAAATTATATATAAAATATATACTATACTACTGTATATGCATATATGTATATATGTGTGTGCATATATATGTACATATATATAGATGTATATATAAATCTATAAAATATAGACTGTATATTTATAAAATCTTTTTTTTTTAATTCAGAAAAATAATAATATAAAACTCTAAAATATTTAATTAGTATATCAGTATTTACTCCATGCTTCTGGAGACCCCTATACATGCGGGCAGAAAATTCAGTGGAAAAATTCTGTTATAAAACATTGTCCTGTTTTAACCCAAACCCTCTCTTCTATTGTTTACTCTATTGATACACGACTGTAATGTCTACAACGTAAGAGGTAGTTTTTAATATCTGCCTTTTTATTAAATTTTTTATTATTATGTATAGAAGGGATGACCAGAGTAACCCAGGTGCATTATTTACATTTATTGTGCAGCTTTTTGAGACTTTCTATAGAATGCAAAAAGAATGAAGAGCACAGCTGGTCTGAGGGGACAATGTTAAAGACTGAAAAATAACATCGATAGATGTATAGAACAGGCATGTCAAACTCAAGCGTAGCACAGGTTATTATCTGACTAAACCAACTGTGAGCAGCACTTGACACGCATCTGAGACTAACAAACCAGTAGTGCTTCTTAAGGGTCAGATATTGGTGGGGCCAGATTAGGGTCAACAAAATAAATAACATATGAACAGAAACATTAGCTGGAGAACCCTATTAGTTAGGAAAAGCAAACTACTGCGGTACTCCAGTACTCCAAAAATGTTTTCCACAAAGCTGAAACATCTGCAAGAATTTTCTTTGATGAGCAAAACTGACAACCAGCACAAATTCCAGCTTTTTAGAATTTTGTTCTTTCTTCCAGGTTCAACAAAGCAACAGAAACATTCCTAAAAAAAAAAACCCAAAAACCAAAATACACTGAAATGGCACTTTAATAAAATGCTAAAATCACATAGTGGGAGACATAGTAACAGTAGAGCTATTTTACTCCAACGCTATATTAACTTATGTTATATATATGTATACATATAAATATATATACATATATATATAAATCAAACATAAAATACTCTGTTACAGTACATCATTCTATCATTCTGGTAGTGTAAAATATTTTTCTCTACGCAAAAACTTGAAGTCTTACAGGAAATGCAAAGACGTCAACAAAAGACAGAGTTGTTTCATAGTAAAAGCTAATTCATAGAATCCATCCAGGCCGAGATACAGAATCTGAATACTATTCAAAGGATCACAGATGCATACTGTGTGCCTACAAAAGTGCTTTCTGTAACATCTTAAAAGTTTGACGTAGCGCTCGCAAACGTTGTACACCACGTTGAGAGAAAGCTCATCGTGAACTGTCCGATCTGGCAGACACCATGTAAACAACACTGTAAAGAAGCTTTAGTGTTGTAATTTGAGGAAAACAAAACAAAAAAATAATAAAAACACATTTTTGCCTCATAATTAACCCCCCTCGCTCCATCTAGTACGCATTCACAATCACTGTGGTAATGACAAAAGCAAACAAAATCTTGATAAGCTTTTTTTCCCTGTCTCATCTTCTTTCATTTGCACAAAGAGACATTTGATGGAACTTTTGTTTATATAAACTGACAAGCTGTCCATTTAATACTAACGACATAACTATGATAACATATGAGTAAACTAAATTAAATGTATCCCTTTTAATGTCAGTATCCTCCCATTCATCTCTGTAATTACATTTATACAGGATGAGCAGACCTTAACAACAGTCCCCTTCTAACACAATAAGGCATAAAGCAAGGAAAGTACATGTATTAAGCAGCTATATGTTGTGATTAGTAACATTGATGACATTAATAACATATACTTGTAATATTACAGCACTAGTTCGTACATTAAGACATTTTCTACCGCAGCCCCTCGCTCGTACATCGTTAGCAACAAGAGAACACTAAAGAAAGAGAACTATTGGCACATCAGGATCACGTTCACATTATCATCTTTGAAACAAGATGTCAGTTATGGCTCTTGCTTTTGCCTCACTTCATAATGGGATTGTCTCATAGAGGAGTCCGTTTCTATCCCAGGCGCCACTTATATCTAAAGGACAATTCGAAGGCAGGATGTGCTCGTGTCGTTGACGACCTGTTTACGGCGAAGCGTCCTCATTTGCAACTCATTCAAATGCCTCTCGTAATGAAAATTTATTGTGTTGTCTTACGTATCCGAGGCCTACCCAGCAACCCTTCTGTCGTTAGCTTATTATACACTGTATGCTATGCTAATGTGTTACAGGCATATTGTCATATTGTGAGTCTTGATGGTTCAGTGCTTAAAGTGAATGAGTCAACCTTTACCAAAGGTCTCATTTACCCTTATGAGCTTATTCTGTCAACTGGAAAGTGAAATAAGAAGTTTGTTTGTGCCTAAACGTGTGTCTGTCTGTCCATCCATCCACTCATCCATCTAGTCATCCATCCATGCACTCATCCATTCATCCATCCATCTACTCATCCATCTTCATCCATCCATCTCATCCATTCATCCATCCATCTACTCATCCATCCATTCATCCATCTATTTATTTTCCATTTATTCATTCATAATCTTCCTCCCATCCATCCATATTCCTTCCATTCATCTTATATAAAGTTGGAAGTCTGCCCTAGAAGCCCACAACTGGACATCTGTGGTCAGTTTTACGAGCTGCGAGCTGAAGATTACACACGACAGTCTCTGCTCCAAATATTCTGTCCAACAATTTCAGATATTACTATTAGTTTATTAGTTTGTGGCTGTGTCTGGAAGGCGAAAGATTAAATCAGTCATTTAGGCAAATATAAATCACATGGTTTATACATGTCTATGTGTGTATATGTGTTTTGTGTGTGTGTTTGTGGCTGCCTGTGGCTGGCTGTATCAGTGTAGATGCAGAGGTTGCACTGACACCCAGTCATCGTTTTTTTTTAAATCTCAAATAATTGCAGCTATTATAGATTTTCACATTTTTTACAACTTGCTCCAGTTGCTGTCCCTGCCATAACACTGACTTAGAAAGATTGCTAGTTGAGGTTTTAGTGAAATGACAGAGATTATGACTTAGTGCTTGTTGGCTGGCTTTTGTTTTAAGAACATAATGAAAAAAGTTTTTTTCAGTTTGACCATTAAAATGTTCCGTTCGATGGACTACACTCTCGTATTTTATATAGCAGAAATCAAACCACTACAAAGAAGAGCTGCTTGATTCACCTACAGGGACTACACAACATTAATTACTAAGGGGAGTTAGCGTCCAACACAGGGATGTCATTAGAACATGTTCCTCTCCTCCTAGCTCAGACCGTTACCTTTTACAGTCTTTGTGGTGAGAACTGTTAAACAAAATTAAATCCAAAGTAAAAAATGCATAGTTGCTTTTTCAGATGTGTTTCACAAGAGATCTGTCCTTTATCTAAGCCTTTTTTACATATATAAAATATATCTCTGCTGAAATCCCAATAATATAAAATAGGCCATGTGTGTGGTGCGCAAACAAAATGACTCCATAACGGTGACATCTTTACATATTTGGGTTTAAAAAAAAAACCCCACATAACAACATGGTGTTTTTCGTCCTCCCAGGTTAATCATACGTTGACATCTTTATGTCAGATTAAGATTTCAGTAATGACATTGCCCTCAACACAATTAGCCAGACATGTAATTAGATTTGCGTTAGTGGTGAGCTGATGCCAGCAAAGAAATTATCTTTTGTTTATTATGTTTACCATCCGCAGCCTAATGGTGACACTGTTGACGAAGAGCATGTGCAGGAGTCAGCTGTATATTTTTATGTCTCCCTTTTTTTTCTGTCGCCCTCTGACAACACATCCACCTGTGCCTCACCCAACCACACTGTGTGCTACAAGTTTAATGGTTTGATGGAAGGAATTAAGAAGGAACAGGCTTTTGCCAGATTATAGGACTCAACCCCTGAAGGTCCAGTACAAATGTGTGGCAAATTTCATGGTGAGAGATTTCCCAGTAGGTCTGGGGTGATATAACCCACAGGCATACCAGATAGGGACTTGGGGGGTGGTTGTGGCAGACAGGGTGGTGGAGACTGGTGAGGAGGAGGGTGTAGAAGCAGACTGTGCTGCGTGTCCACCTCCTGTACTATTGTGTAGTCTGAAACTGGAACACTGAACTGAGCCATTGGGAACTCGGGACCAACGTAAGGTGACTGATTATCCTCAGAAGCAGCTGCTTGTCTGGTCTCCACCTGTTGAGGCTGTATGGTTTGGTAGCCCTCACCGGGAATGGGGGAGACAGGGGTGGTCAGAGCTTGCTGGGCGATGCTCTCCGTGGCGTTGCCGTGTCCCTCAGGATCCACAACCACCAGCTCAAACTGCTGTTCCTTCTTCTCCTCGCCTTCACTGTCTTTTTCCCTTTTCTGTGTTTCTTCTTGCTCTGTAGAAGATGTGCTCTCTTGGGTTCTGAGCTGCTGGCCAGGAGACAGCACCACACCCCCAGAGGGCATAACATTGCTGACCTGGGCGTAGAAGTCTGTGTTGACCCAGGTCTGAGGCCCTGTCGTTTGGATTTGGACAAGAGGTCTTTCACTCCTCTCTGGTGTTGAGGTTCCTCCCACGACGTCGAGTAAGGCTTCTCCATTCTCCGGTTGGCCAGGGAGCAAGGTGGTCACGAGGACTGGGGTGTCTTGGTCGAGAAGATCTGGGTCGTAACAACTTGCCCGGCCTGAGTCATCATCAGGGAAGCTACTAGAGAAGATAACAGGTGAGAAGTGAGATCATATTTAAGATGCAAAAAAAAAGCACAAACTGTACAGTTTCTTGTACATGAACCAGTGCAGTACCTGATGGTGTTGGCACAGCCTATGTTCATGGGCTGGTTGATAGGTTGGGGCAGACCAAGGAGCCTCTGTGTGTCCAAGCCCTGATGGTCTTCCTTCTCCCCTGAATCAGTGTCCTCAGCATCCACCTCAATGAACTCCACCCATGGCTCATCTTGGTAGAAATCTGCTGCAAATGGAGGCAAGCCGCCCATTCCTCCACCGCTGAGGATCAAATTCAACTCTTCCAACTTCCCTTTCTGCATGTGGAAAAATTTATACATTCATTAAAGTCAAGTAAATGTGACAGCTGCACTAAAAACAAAATAAATCAAACTATAGGGATGGGAAATAATAAGAATTCACTTATTCCACTTTCATTATTGATATCCCTTTATATCGTTTTGATTCCTTATCGATACTCTTTGGTTTACGAAAAAACATATTTAGTACACATAGGTCTGTATGCTTTAATGCTATAATGTTAATAGGCTTTTTTGTTGCTAAACCTCTGGACTTTAACAACAATCGTAGAGTCTTTGTTTCTAAAATGTAACCATACTTTACACTACATCTGCTGCGACATCATGTTGTAAATACTCAAAATTAAATCAGGGAACGTGATGAATGTGATGTCATCACACAAACACATCACCAAGCAAATATGTCAGTGGACACATTCAGTGGAATAGGGCAGAAGAACCATTACATAAACAAGGAATTGGACCATCGAGAGCTGGTTCTCTATGACATGAAGAACATGTTATGGTTATGCACTATGTCTTTTTCATTATTATTATTTTTTTAAAGCAAGCATTTCTGGGTTCACAGTTGAGGGAAAAGTGCATATAGGCTGAATGTAAGAGGTCGCTTTTATTGTCGCTCGTAACATCTCTCAACATTCCTCTCATCGTTGTTAAATTAAAAACAGTAATATTATTTGTTCCTCTTTGGATTAAAAGCATTATCTCTTTTTTTCATAATGCAAGGGCAGCAACAGTGTGGTGTGATGATTACGTGGCCTGATGCACAATTCCATGTGGACACATGTGGAGGCATGTGTGTTTTTGATCACAATTGCAATGGAGATGTGATGAAAACACAGTGGTTACACAACACCCTATTCAATACCTTTGCCAGATAAAGAGTCCACATTTCCACACAATGACAGCTGTGCATTCCTAATGCACTGTCACTCTTAAGGCATGTGACGCACACTGAATTATTATGCCAATACATTTGGAGTGATATCAGTGAAAAAAAAATCATATAATATATATTTGATCAAATTTAAATAAAACGTAAATTAATTTCAAAAGATCTAGCAGAGCTCAGTTAGTGGATTATAGAACAGTGATGCTGTTTCAAATTATCTTCTGGAATTGTATGAGCATTTGGAAAATATTTGCCGACAGTATGTGTGAAGCTGCACTAAATCAAATATATCACTGGGGTCTAGTAAATTTGTGCAAAAAACAGGCAAAGCTGGAGCTAAAACAATTGTGATAGAATCAAAGTACCTTCAACATCTCTGCATTGATGCCCTTAATTTTCGGTGCAGGAACTGGTGGCAACAGAATCTTCATGAATCTGCAGCAGCACAGAAAAAAGAAGATGACGTTGTAGTCCAAAAGCAGCAAAAATAATTGTTTACAACACAACACCAACACGGATCAATGCCAAGGTCGGAAAACAATGTTTTGAGTTTGTGGGGGGTGATTGCACTGTGCCGTGGTACGACACGCACACGTGACAAACTACGCAATTGTACTGCATGTGATTAATCATTTTGACTGACATGAGGACATTTAAAAGGGCTTCAAGGCTGAGCTACACAGTAGACAGAATGACTGGAAGCTGTGAAACAATTAGAGAAATATTAGGTGGTGTTGATGTGTTACAACTGCTGTGGTTCAAAAACCGAAAAAGGAAAACGGACTGCAAACCAAAAATGCTGAAGCAAACGAGGATCCCTCTTCTGCTGCATGGTTGTTTTGTGAGTTTACACGTCCAGTATGATGCACATGATATATTCTGTATTGACCCTACAGTGGAGGGAGTGATCAGCCCACTGACTTTAATCTAGGGGGGCGGGCCCTCCAAGGTGTGGATTTTTTTAAGAGGGTGCAGCAAAGCCAATGCATCTCAAAATTTAAGATTTTGTCCCGGGTTTGTCCCACAGTGGGGAAAATGAACTATAATTTGTAATTTTATGGATTTTCTTAGTTCAGTAGTTTTGACGCAATAGCTGTGAATGTGTCACCAAAAGGGGGTGCTGGAGTAAAGTTTGGGAACAATTGCTTTACAGCAAAAAGAGTCTAATTTGAAGATGTGATTTTCTGTCATGTGTGGAGTTAGTGGTCATGTGGTCTCTGTTTTATTGCCGTTTATTTATTGCTGTTTGTATGGCCCTAGAATGGGATGGCAAACTGTGCACTGTCCACTGTGATCCCCCCCCCGCCCCTTCTCTGCCCTAGGATTGGCTTCAGCCATTGGCGCAGCCTCGAAGAAGTAGATGATAAATTAATATTCAGAGTCAGAGTCAAAATTGGCAGATCCTGCACCAGCTGTAAAACATTGGTCCTGGAGAGATCTGACAGTTCCCCAGATCTTACCTGTGCTGCTGGGAGACGATAATCAGCATGACGAGAATCAGGATTCCCACAATTCCAAAAACAACCACAATAGTAAAAGAGAATGTAGTCTCTGGAAAAACAGCACAAAGCAAAACAAACTGTCAAAAAACCGGCATATGACCAAAAATAAACCACCATTCACATCAGACTGAGCTTGACTGATGTTACCTGTGCTTTCAACCTCACTGACTTCAATGAAGATGGAGTCACTGAATTCTCCAAACTTTTTAAAACCTATCATCCTGCAGCGGATATGAACCTCGTACTTCTTTCCTATGTGTAGACCAAAGATTGTCTGCTGATGTTGTGGTTGCATCTCCAGCTGAATCACAGACACACAAAGGTAGAAAGGAGAGGTGATGCTCAAACAAAACAAAACCAAACAAAGCAAAACACACCATTTGTTAAGTTCAGCTTGAGATGGAGGTTTATAGTTGTAAACAGTGTGGTGATGTCAGACACAGAAGTATTGTACTCTTCTAAAACTATATCAAGGCTGTGTATGTCAGATGGTTGTCCACACAGTAATAAACATGATTCTCTACAAGGTCCTGTGGCCTCCCTTCACTTCCTTCAGAGAGGATGTGTTTTCCCAGCGGGCCTTGCTCCGGCTTCCACTACCTCGCCAACAATGTTGCATGCATTTTAGATGCAATACTTCGGGGGGAGGGGGAAGGAAACATGACACTTTGCCACTTTGACCTACCTAAAAAAATGTACTTTTAGCAGAGTGCAGGAATGTTTGCCTTTGTGACAGCTTGTGTATGTGCACACATTTCAGAGATGTTTAGCAGTGTCAGAGGCACATGTCACTGAGAGTGCATGAGAGGCAGCCAGGAAAAATAGAAAGAAAGAAAACTCACTGCTTCCCACTTTGTTGTATTTCTCTCTCTGTACTGCAATTCGTAATGAACGCGTATCCAGCCTGTCGCCATGTCTGCCGAAGGCGGGGGCTCCCATTTGACCCTGACGTCAAAACTCACCCCAGAGGGACTTATGCTGAGGACTGTCCAGTTTAGATTCACTGGAGGGTCGGGACGCACTGCCAGGAAAAGGGGAAAAGTTCAGAACAAAAACATTCGAGTGATACTGAACTACTCAGAATGTCGTCACGTGGACATTAAAAACGGTGTTTTGTTGTAAAGCGAAAGTCCTCAAAGGTATAGGGGGGTTATGAACTTATGTAGGAATTCCATTCCTATATATAATATAACTCAATTTTCACCGTATGACAGAACTCACATACTGTACATAAGTACCAATATCACTCACCTAAACTAACACTCATTAAAACAGTGGCTATTTGATTTAATAAAAAAGATACAGGTTACTGCCCCCTGGTAAAGGTAACGTAGATAACAATAATTGTTTGATAGAGATTCAAAAAGATGAACATGCATGTGAATCACATTCTAGGTTAAAATCCACATGTGACCTATAAAAAACATGCTGATAGTCTGTTTACAGACTTGAGAACAACAAATACATACAGGAAATTACCAGGGGAGTGTCATCGACAAACATGCCATATTTTCCCTGTGATAATACATAATCTATCACCATTTTCACAGGGCTGCTCTGATAAATGCAGTCAGACATGAGAGCAGGGTCTGAACACAGTCTATCCTGCCATGTTATTTACATTGACATGTGACATTTGCTGACCTGCAGCAGCAGCAGCAGCTACATGTACCATTTCCTGGAAACCAATGAGAATGCTGTACATGATTCCGTTAACGTAGAGTAAACGTGGGGACGTGGTAGACAAATGATGATGATCACTCACCTATATCTTCCACACTGAAACAATCATTCTCGTTGTAAAAGGTGACGTTGTTTTCACCGCGCAGCTGCATGCAGTAGGTGATCCAGACAGATGTGTAGGTCATGTTGAAGAAACACTCTCTGTTGGAATAGATGTAGTGTGGATCCACTGGCTGTTTGGAGACCTGAGGGAGGGAAACGGTCATATTTGACCAAACTGGATGCAAACAAATGCAGTAAATATTACACATGGACCTTTAATGCTGACACTAGTGTCCACTAATATCTGACTACTTTTTTTATGAGAGAGGCGGCAAACAGCCGTTCATTTCTGACTCCTATAACTCCAAACTAGTCACATGTGTATTTTCACTCTAGGTCCACTTGGCAGGGCTGGAAACACAATTGGACCGCTGCCCCCTTTTCTAGTGCAATACAATAGCCGGATTGGACATTTGGAAAATCGCTAGCAAACATCAGGTGAATTTGAAAACGACACAGACCAGCGGAGGCCTATTTAGTCAAATTTCAGTTTATTATTATGTGTTAGTGGTATTACTCTAAATGACCACACTCACTCTTTCTTAAGGTAGAAGAATCTGAGTGCTCCAGAAGAGGACAAGTTCTGAAAGTTGCCAGGACTCCACCAACAGCGGAACGTCTCCTGGTCCCTGGACAAGCAGCCAGTGATGTGAGGCTCAAGAGTGACTAAGAGAAAGACCAGGACAGAAAAGATGTAAAGGTTTGGAAAACAGTAGTGCGAACCTAGACTTCACAGATATGAAATATTGATTTGAACACTTGACCTTCATAAAGTCTTCCCTTAGACTATCTCCTATCTTCTAATTTATTCAATACAAATATACTTCTCACTATATAAGGGTCACAGTCCTGTAAATACAACACAGACATCAAGATGTTTTGATTTTTGTTTGTGTATTCACCTCAGACTATTTTCTATGCTGTTCCTTTTCACTTTTAACTTCAAGGTCTAAATTTCACATTTACTCTATTCCGGTCTTTATTAATAGAAACATATTATATTTACATGATTACATTACAGTGATTACATTGCAATAATGAAGCAAAAATGTAAAGATTTTGAGAATTAAAAAAAAGCGGCTAATTTAATATATGTACCATTATTTATACATTTTCAATACTTAATATTTCCAATAACAAAAATGCACAAAGATCCATCCATCATTCAATTAATTCACCCAACCAACCAATTATCCAGCCATCCATCCATCCATCCATCCTATAGTCATCCTTCCACCCAAACAATTATCAATTAGCCATTCATTCATCCCTCTATTCCATACATTCACCACTTCACCACTTCATCTATCCATCTAATTCTAAGATACAAAAAAGAACACATCATAGTTACTATAGTAACAGTAAGTAATAGTTACTATAGTAACTACGATGTGATGACGAACTGTGATCAGCTGCATCATATGTCGCCTTTGCTCTGTAACCAGTTACAGAGCAAAGGCGACATATGATGCAACTGATCACACGAGTTTAGTAATAGTCACTGAACGTCACCACAGACATCAACTAACATTTTCACTGTTAAAACTGCTTGTCACATATGAGTTGTTTCTAAAAATACATCATACCTTTGTAACAAACTGCAGTAATATGTCTCAACCTGACATAGACTACTGACGGAGAGCACACACACCAGTGAGCCTCGTCCTTCCACTCTACCAGCAGAAGTAAACAACCGTGCCTTCTGCAGTGAGCAAGGTTGCAATGAATCTCAGTCCTGCAGCTTTGCTACCATCGAATAGAACACATTTTATAAGAGGTATCCTGTGCCCCACCCGTTGGTCCTGACCCAATCGTTACTCCTCATTCCCTGCCACTCGTTTGGTGCAACCATAAATAAGCAGCTGAAGTTATCGATTGTTGTTCAGCTCCTTCTCTCCCCCCAGCTCCCCTCAGTAGCTGCAGCATATATCACACACAACCAGAAGGTAAACATCCCAGTCAAGCAACGACGGTTAAAGCAGTAGTGCAACAATATAGATACAAATAGCTAATTTTTCTTTTTAATATTAACAGAACCTAATAGGCAAAACTATTTATTAATAACCTTTACTTTAATTGGGTCTTTACTTTCTATTTCTTGCCAGTGAAACCCTATAATTCATCAGCCCTCTCTCTCTCTCTCTCTCTTTCTCTCACTCTCTCCCTCTCCCTCATGCTGCCCTGTCTTTCCACCTTCTTTCCCTCTCATCTCATGCACACTGTCATGGTTCCCAGAGCTTTGCTATTTCAACTGGCCGTCCCTCCCCCATCCAACAAATTCCAGCTGCCACCTTCAAAGAGCTTTCTGCAGACACTGGGTTAGAACTACAGCAGGGGCAGGTTATGCAGAAAGAAAAATAACACCCTAAAAATGCAATGTTTGGAATTTTTTTTTTTATGTCTCTTAAGTGTCAGATTGTCAGGGTTTAACTTTTCAAATGAATCGTGACGTTATTTGGTTACGTTTCAGATTCATAGTTGATGAAATTGATTCACTTTCCCTGGGCAATTTACTATTTTAAAGAGTGGATTCTAAATGATATGACTCTATATGTTAATTTGAGTCAATGTCATTTCACAACAGCTGTTTTAGTCTTGATAAAAACAACGAGGAGAAGGTTTTAAGGGGTTATTCTTCTAGGAAGAATGTCAGATTTTGGATAAGAGTCAGAAGGTATATACATGGCTGAAGTGTATAATAAATAAAAAAAGTGCTGATGTGCATGTTGTAACTGGCCTAAAAGCCAGGAGGCAAAGTCGTGACAGCTAAATGTTCACTTCTCATAGACTGGTTATTAAGTTGAAGGGCCTGACTTGCAGATTTCTACAAAACCTTTACCAAGTTTTTGGTAACATGAGGCTACACCCTGCCTGTACTTGCCATATGCTAGTAAATGACCAGTAATACACACCTACTTTACAACCTAAGCTAAAAACAAAAAACCAAAACAAACAACAACAATTTTGTACATATGTATTTTTGTATGCGTTTGAGTGCCTGTTTATACACTCTCTATCTTTGACCTAATTTCAGACTAGTTATTGAAAGTCATGGGTACACTTTAGAGCTGAGGTCCCTAAATGCACCAATGTGTCCTGAAAACCTGCCCAGATAGACAGACTTTAAAAAAATCACATTTGTTATGGTCAAAGCCTTTGTTTTGGGGAGGCATGTGACACATTCCTGAGCCCACACAAACACCATTCACTTTCAGGGGGATAAGCAAACACCAACTGTAGTTTTAAAAAGTACTTTTATAGTTGCCATGGCCAATGATTCAATATTGAAGGTAAGCACTGCTAAACCTTAAACTTTACTTAAACCTAATCATGTAACACAAACAAATAACACAATGTAACACAAAAAGAACATTTATGACAGCCTCACAAAAAACTTTAATATTCTATATTTTGATATGATATCCAATTATCCATTAATAATAAAAAAATCTGTATTTAAAGATCTTTAACCTACAGATGTGTGCTCATCCCGCCCCTCCCTGCCCACCCTGCTTCATCTGTAACAGGAATTGTTTCAGTTTTAGTTCCTTTATCTGCTAACTCTTAATGCTTTAAAAGTCTTGACTGTTTACAAATGGCAAGAAAAAAACTTTTTTTTATTCCTGCATTCTTTCTTAACAATAATAAATTATATATCTTTGTTTCTGTCTACCTGTCAATCGAAGTCAGACTTGAAAGTGGAAATTAATTTTTAAATTTGATTCAAGTCAATTTGTTTTTATTAATGTTCATAGTGACCAGTCATATTTTGCTCTGCCTGTATCCACAGTGATAAATGTTAACACATGGTCTGAATGGGTCTGTGCATCCTCCCTGGATGTGTGTGCAGGTAAAACTGGTAAACTGTGTTTTGCTCCATGCCTTGTGCTCATCAGTCTGTCCAGAGGAGCTAGGAAACCACTTACCAACCTGGATGTTAGTGTGAGCCATTTGAGTCTTGGACCGTAAAAAAGTCTAATTCGAGCACTTTGCCTTTAGCCCTCATGTCAGCTGGCAAAGATCTCCTAAATGGTTATTTTGCACAATGCCTTACTCTCATGTGGAGCGTAAAGAAACTGAGTCTATGATGCTCTGAATCGCCACATTTTCCAGCTCATTTGCAGGTATAAGTCAGTTTGTGGTTAACCAAGCTTCAAAAGAGAAAGGAGTCTGTGAGTCTATAAAATCACAAACACTGTTTAAATGAAAAAGGTTGAACCTTTACCAAACTAAGTACACACTAATTTTAAACCTCAAGTTTCAAATTTCAAATTAACTTAATAGTGAAGTGATGGTTATATATCTTTTAGCTTCATTCTAGAACATTTCTGAGGTAACTGAAGTACAGAATACATCTATCCTTTAGCTAACCCACAGCCAAACTGTGGCTGAGCTTAGGTTTTTCATTTAGCTAATTTAAATCAAATCTGGCTGTACATTAAGCTAATTCAAATATAAATTTCTATATACAACCTACTCAGAAGGTGAAAAGATCTGACAAATTTAGTTCAACATGAGAAGTCATTCAGTGGGAATGACTCAGATTATATAAGCAGTTTTTCACACAGGTGGTGAAGTCTGTGCTTTTTTAAACATACATTTTAAATTTTCTGCTGCCAATATTTAGAAAAGCCTTTAACCTGAGCTTTGAAGTGAGGGTTTAATGTGAATCATTGTGGCTGTGCACAATTTGAGAGAGCCAGAAAGAGCCATAGGTGAGCCAGAAGGGAGGGGGTGGAAGGTATCAGAAAGCTGGAACCACATCGAGATACAATCAAGGGAACGCAAACAGGTGATAAAAATAACAGCCGACACACACATGCAGGTTCACACAAAAGTACAGTCGGACATAAATACACACACTCTCCACTTCTACCTTGAAAACAAAACCCGACAGAGAAAATCAAAGTACTATTGTCCACCTTCTTGAATACGTCCTGCCTTTCTTCTCACACCCCAGGACCTGGCTCTGCTTCCCCACAAGATGTTGGAAGCCCAGATGACACATTTTTGCATCTGATCCTCATCAGCCCGTGTAGCTTTGAAGTCATATAGACAGAATGTGGACGGTTTCAACCATGCAGTGACCCAGTCAGCTTTATGGTGGCCAAAACAATTTATTAGCCTCAACTAATGATCCCAATCTCCTCTTATACAATTACAGCCCACTGGATTGGCTTAGTTATGTCACATTAGGCTCAGATGAGAGTAAATATAGCTGGGCAGCCATGTGTGCCAGCATGGACACCTGAATACCTTTTTGTCTTGGTGTCTCTTTTTACATCGCCAAGTCCACTTGGCTGGAGCCACACTTCAGTACGGTGTCAGATGTTTTCACGTGGGACAAAACAACAAGTTAAATTTAGCTGCTGATGACAGGGCCTCACGGTGAGGCGGGGAAACCCTTCTTTTAAATTAACAAAACATAAAATCAACATGATAATAACCTTTTTTTTTTAAATTATGGCAGCCAATGAAGTAACAGTAGCTAACAGCTAACAGTTTTCCTTTAAATCACGGGTGTCAAATCAATGTTGAAAACAAAGTCTACGTTGTGGACTAAGCAGGATTATAACCTATAGAAACGTCTAGTGCTCCTCTTGCTGGGTTCAACACCAATGTGCATTATGGGAGATCTAGTTAATGTTAATGTTAGCTTAACATTAGCTACTCACATGTAACCTGTCCACTATATTCAAACCAGTAAACATTAGTATAAGCTATACTTACATAGTCATATAAAATGATGTGACGGGAGAGTGAAAAATACCGCAATCCAATGTAAGGTATACAAGTCGTCTCTGAGTATGCACCATTCGATGATGTATTACTCTTACTACTCTCAAAAAGCAAAACCCCTTTTTTTTAATGAAATATGACCTCTCCAACAATAATAGATTACGTCAGTTTAAGTATTTTCTTAAATGCAGACTTTTTTAGACCTTTTTTTAATTTTCATTATATACAGCAAACCTTTTTATTTACTAACTGTAGTCCAGTTTATGATTGTCAGTGCTACACTGTCAACATTTCAGCTTCGTCTTTGACATTATTCAACACTTGCCCGAAGGATGTCCTAGATACTGTTTGGTACATCCACAGTCAAGTCCTCACTTGTCTAGGCATGCTTAAAATGACACTTATCTCTTTGTAAATCAATAAAACACATCAAAACATAAACTATTGAAAAATATTGGACTTGTCAAATGTTTTAATAGGGCTATAAAATGTAAGAAAAGGCTCGCTGTTGAACTGACGGTCAGAGACCAAGCCACAGTCATTGTAAGTTGTAAATTTCTCAGTTGACTCGCAGTGTCTTTTTATTGATTTGCTGCAATGAAGAAGGAATGGCTTTTTAATATGACTCAACAAAAACATCACCATATGAAAATGTATTTTTTAGGTATTTATAACTTTCCTCTTGCTGGCTGCTTTTATCCCACCTCCTAAGTCCTTAACATCTCTCCTATTTAAGACATTTTTCACTCATAAAAGCGCTGGTAAATCTGGGTTTTACAGCTCCTCTTCATTGAGAAACATCTCTTCATGGCCTCAGTCTGACAGCAGGCACATTTCTCTTCTGCCTTGTAAAATCCTAACTTGATTTAATTCTTCTGCCATCATATCCTGCACAAGGCCCAGGGTTTTCAGCTCAGAGCAAACCCACACAACTGTAGCATGTGTGTACATATCAAACGGACTGAATCCCTGCACCGTTGCCAGTGGTTACCACTGGTTACCGCTGGTTAGCATCCTGCCTCCAGCAAGAGTATCAATCGAAGCGCTCTGTGTCTTCCTGAGACAGCCAAGAAAGACACATGTGAGGTGGCGGGGCGTGGTGGGCGGGGGCTGAGGTTTGGGGGGAATATATGCATGTAGCAATCAGACCCAAATAAAAAAAAGAAGAAATGCAAAACCTGATAAAAAGTACTTAAATATGGGAACACTATGGGATGTTTTTCAGGTTCCCCCAGAAAGAGATGGATTTTCAAGACTTAGTTTTAATTTAGAATTGAGATTACAGTAAGTAAGATTCTCAAAGAGAGAAAGAGATTTTTAAAAACTTAGTTTTTAGACGGAAATTAGGCTTAGATTAAAGCAGTACTCCTCAAATAGTGGGGCTGGCCCCCCTTTGCGGGGTGCGGTGAGGTGTCAGGGGGGCGTGAGGGGCTTCCAATGAAATATGGCAAGCTGGACATAAGTGCACCACTGCTGTAATGCTTGAATGATAACAAATCTCCAGTCACTAGGTGGCAGCACCTCATACAGTGGTTTGTACAGATAAAAACATACGTTATCAGGTTCTCAATAGTATTTCAATTTCTGGGGGTGTGGGTCAGAGAGTAGGGGGTGGTGGCATAAAAACATTTCTGTCCTGAAGGGGGGCATGATAGAAAATAATTGAGAACCACTGGATTAGAGTAAGGATTAAGATTAGCAATATCTTTATAATGGTTAAAGTTAGGATAAGGGTCTGGGGAACGCAATATGTCTTGATGAAAGGGTAACAAAAACCAGTGTGTGTATGTGTGTATTTGTGGGGACATGCGTCCATGTATGAAGACCAGATCAAGACAAACAGCCACCACTCACTATAATTACTCTGGTAAACCTTTAAATATATAGGAGCATCCCCAACTGTCTGCTCTTGGCTTGTCATGTGGCTTTCTTGACAGCAGACATAAAACACTCCAAACATAAAAAACCAACCAAATCCAAGGTAAGCTCCACGAAGACAGTAGAACCAACTCCTCCTTAGACAACTCAAAAAGCCCAATGCTGTTGATTGGTCACAGAACCAACATGATATACTCATTCTTGTGCAAGTTCCGGGACACATCCTAGACAGAGTGTTGAGCCAAAAGGTCAAACACAGAGGCTGAGTGAAGCCAACAGCTGCCAGTATTCCAAGGCTGTGGTTCATTCAACAACGGTGAAAGCTGTGTTGTGCATGTTTGCTCATGCTATCGGTGGCTGCTTTCTGTTTACTGATATTTGAACATTTTCTGAGGAAGACCAGTGTTACTGTGCTCACTCCAGACCTGGCAGATGTTTGATGGTCTGACCGCAGCTGGTTATTAGTGTTTTGTCTGAGAGCTTATCAGAAAGGCAGTGTAAACTCACTGAGTTACAGTGATGGTTTGTGTACAAAAGTCAAAAGAACTGCAGACAAAACTAAGGACAGAATCCAGGAAAAAAAAGCTAAGTTCTAGGAAGAAACAGCCTCCTAAAAATCAAGTTTGTTTTCAGACAACATGATGAAATGTACATATTCACCGTATACGCCACATACATATGCAAATCAAAAAGTTCTAAGACAAATGTACCTCAGGTGACACATTCAGCTTCTTCATATCATAATGTTTTATCACAATCATTGTCAAGTGTTTGATTGAGTTGAAACTACTGGAGCGTGTGACTTTTTAAAATCTAGCCGCAACCAATTTTTTTTTTCTTTTCCCAATGCTGACACTGGATTTCAGTCCTTAGACAAGGTGAAGAAGCAGGTTGTGACCTGGTACTAGAGAGTCCCTAGGATTCTACAAAGAAGGAATTATCTACTGGAAACATCACATGAAAAATGGAGTATATATAGGGAAATAGTTATTTTTACGTACATACAAATACATTCTAATGTGAGTAAGACTTCCACTTGTATTACAGACATTTTAAAAGGCAAAAAAAAATCTTTGAATGGGACAATGAGACTAAAACCATTTATAATATTTAATTTCAGAGCAGAAAGCCAAGTTGGCTCCCACTCACCATCACTTAATCTGAACTGGAAAGTTGACAGTTTCTGCACAAAAGTATTTGAAACTGTGATTTAACAGAAAAAAGTGTCTGCAGATTTACATGCAAAATGTGCTGAACAAATGTGGTGTTAAAAAGATGAAAAAAATAATAATCCCACAATGAAAATTATCATAATTAAAACAATGTGGCCAAACCTGTGAATATGATTTAAATCCAAAATACCACAGCTCAGTGGTGATGAACTGAACAACAGACTGCATTCATGTTTCTAAGGTGGCAAACAGAATGACACAAATTTTGCAGTTTCCCAGACTGTTTGATGTGTTGCTGTATGGAGCTCACGAGCTTCAAGTTACATTATGTCCAAAAAAACATTATAAAGTATTTAAGTATTGCAGCCTTATATTTACATATGAGAACAAGACGTGCTAGCAGCCAACAAATGATGCAAAGATAAATGTCACACAGAAGAGCCACATCTGAATTCATTTTTATTACACTTGGCACTTTGTCACTGCATCTGACAGGATTATAAAAGAAGAATTCTAGTTGATGAAGTTGATAAACATGTAGCTTTATTGTTGAAACTCTCTGAATTAGTTATAATCAGTACCAGAACCCATGTTTTGATACGGGCAGGCATGTCCTGCTAATAAGAACGCAGGAAAGCCTTAATTAATTGGGCAAATTGTGCACCACAACATGATGTGCACCACAACATGAACATTTAAAGCGTTAAAACGAAATATGGATGAATGTCACACATGGGTTATGTGTGACATTCATCCATATGAAAAGTTTATTTTCAAATGGATGGTCTAAATTTGCAAACATCAGGCCAATGGCAAATGATTAAACTGCATGAATCCTACACTCTAAAAAAAAGGTATTCATCAAACATGATTGTATTGGTAGAATGATAGAATGCAAATATAAATGCAATTTCCTTCTCCCTTTCAACAACAAATATTGTGTATTATTGAAGCAACAGGCGGTGCAGCTGCAAGAAAAACTCACACCAAGAATCAGTGAGGTCTGTTAGAGTTTGTCTGTGTTTTTCTATTAAGAAAACGAAGACCAATTGCCAAACAATAAAGTCCATAGTTTTATTCGTCTTACAGCAGTGGAATGTATCACTATACAAAAGTGATGGAGACATGTCCTGACATAGTATTTAACAGAAATTACACACTTGTAATGTCTCCTGGTTGAGCCTTTCCTTGGATCAGGTTTTCTTGTTTGTGCAAATATTAGGGGAACAACAAAGTTGCCTGGATGCACACATTCACCTTCTATTCACAGCTGGAATTGCTTTGAGCTTTTGGCTGAGTACTACAATTCATCACGAGTCTTGGTCAGTTTTGTGACTGAAACCACAGCAAATAATTTTTTAAAAATTCCTTTATTGGCCACCATTTGCTTCAGAGTTTGTTAGAGAAAAGATTTGCGTGGTTGCACAGCCATTGAATTCTTTCACCCAATTATTTTAACTGGTTCCGTGACAATTTCGTTAACTGGCTGAACATTCTGCATCGTCCCGTCCCTGGACTTTGACTGTGAAGGCCCAGTCATATATTTGCACTAGCTGTATTGATCACTGGTCTGTTTGACAAGCCAAACCAGGGAAGTGCAACATTTGCTTAACAGTGAACCTTCCACATGTATTAAAGCAAACAAAGCATTCTGCAACTGATGTCTGACATAAGACGCGATAACAAGTGTCAACAACATGGTGCGCTCAAAACCGCAATCCCATTGTTAATGTTTGATGAACTGCACATAGTCAAGGAAAAACTTTCTGAGGAGCAATTCTGTTCTCCTTCTGTATTTGTCATTACATAAAGCAGGAAAAAAAATCTGGTGTTCTACCTGATGACGCCCTTTGGTCCCAGTCATGGATAAATGCAGAACCCGGCTTGATGAGCCCATCCAGAGAGGACATGAGGAGAAGAAGCAGGAGATGACAGGAGAGTGAGTGGATAGCCATGATCCTGAAGACACAGAGAAGTAAGAGAGGGAGACGCTGGGATTATAATTATCAGTTACACACCATGATGACATACCCATGTTAAAAAACCCTCCATTCCCCACTTTTTACTGCTGTATTTCATCCCTTTCTTTTCCCTCTGCCCTCTGAGGGCATCTGTGGCTGCCATTAATTTTCAGCTGCTGAATGTGAAAATCACCACAAGACCAGCCGTCGTTAAGCATTGTATCAGACCGTAACTGTGGCACATCAAAACACAAATAGCAATTTAAGAGACAAGCAAACATTAGTTTGGGAACATCATTTTTTGAAACAGATTTGAAAACAGGCTCTTAACTGGAGGACTGTGGTTCTAATCCCAGCCCTGGCAGGACTATAGTGTGTTGACCAGAACCAGAATTCAGGCTAGCCCCTATATGTTGTTATGACATGTTGATATGTCATAAAAATGTTCAATAGTGGATCGAGTTAGATTATGCATGTCTTTTTTTATGTTTTAACTTTTTTATTCTTTATTCTTTTTGGCAAACATAACTGATTACATGTGTAATTTATGACTATCTAGATCACACATCAAATTCAAGGCCCGGGGGCCAAATGCGGCCCACCAAGCCATTTTGTGTGGCCCGCGGGAGCATTTAATAAAGTCCAGCGTAAAGTGCATAAAATAAAGTGCAGCAGAGTTTATCAACCTATAAAATTAAACGTTATTTTTATTACACAGCAATGAACAATATTTGTAGCTTAAATATATAATAATCTATTGCAGATACATGTATTAGTCTGAAATGGAGGAGCTCATCTATACCAGACTCTATTCTGTTTGTATCAAAGTCTGAATGACTTTTATTTTAAAATATTGCCAGATTATTGTCAAATAAAGAAAGTAAATGGAATTTTTTTTTTTTTGAATGAAGTTAATTAGAATTACTTCATTTTTTTCACTGGGTCCCACTGCAGGCCGGTACCAAATGACCTATGGACTAATACTGGTCCACGAACCAGGGGTTGGCGATCCCTGATCTATACAGTCTTCCATTTACAACCGTCCCTTCAAGGGGAACTGTATTGCTAATGTGGCCCCCGGTGAAAATGAGTTTGACACTCCTGCTCTAGATGCATGAGTAGGATGAATGATGAATGATGGCCGTAGAACAGGGGTGGCTACACTTTTTAGCCAAATGAACAGGCCAAAGTGATCTACCTAGATTGCTAAATAAATATTCACTCATGTAATCTGAACATATATTATATATATACATTATATGTTGGGTTTCTGATTAAATGCACTTTGCTGCATGACAGCGGTAAACTCCCGACAGATGAAGTACTACCAGACTTTATTCCAGCCATGAGGAGAGCAGCACTGAGAGTTAAATAAAAACAATGAAACTCACACTAGTCCTGGACGCACGACACAAGGACAGACGAGGCCCCTTTTTTATTATTTCTCCAATTATTAATGTTTTCTATCTAAAAAAGTCATGTCCTGCTGAACTACAGGTTAATTGACTGTCATTGTAGCTAGCAATGAATTTAATAAGGGTGTGTGTTTGCGCACGCAGATGCACATGTTGCTGTTGATATTTACTTTGCACTTAATAAAATGTTGAATTTCAAACCCATACAGTTACATATTTGTTTTAAGAATGATATTTTTCCTGTTAACATGGTTTCCTGTATTTCTAACTTTCTTTTTCTGACCTTATACTAACCTCAAGGTGCCTTTTGGGAAATACATGCATATAATTATAATATTAAAGTAACAGTATCAGAATAGTATCGGTATCGGCCGATATCCAAATCCAAAATATCGGGATTGGAAAAATGTGGATCGGTGCATCCCTAAAATTTTATTTACATTTTATTATTTTATTTCAATTGCTTATAATCTACGAGCATTCCTCTTGCAATCTACTGGTAGATCCCTATCTACTTACAGGATTTGCAGTATAGACATGGTGGAATTAAACCAAGAACCTTCTGCATAGCTGCTGGAATTCTAGCACTACACTACTATTGCTGACATTGTTCTATCACAGCTGTTAGTTCTCTCGTGAACATGATGGTGTAAAAAGGAAGTATATAAAACAGAAATATATATTTATAATTGTAGTGTCAATAGTTATGTCAATAGTCTTTTTTGCTCACCCACTAATAGTAGTTTATCTGGCTTTTATCTATATTGCAAATATCACAAAAGTGCAATATACAACAAATGTGACAGCAGGAGTGAGAGTAGAAAGGCTACTTGTGCACGTAATGCTATTTTTTGCAATGCTTCCTTTGACACTGCTTTAAAACTTGCATTACCACCGACTTAGTTTAATGAGTTAGGATTGTGATACAGTACACACACGGCAGGTAGACAATGTGCCCCAGGCTCAACAAGCAGCAGCAGGCATAGCTGTGTGTTCGTCACTGTATGGTTTAACAAACCACTGGATAATTAAAAAAAAAAAAAAGACCTTTTGCACCACAGATCAACAGAGTTAAACACAGTTTACTCAAATCTTATCTCGTTGACACGTGAATTTCGCAGAAAAACTTAAACAAATATGTGGTTACACTCTCTCTCCACCAGGACAACTGAAACTCAGATTGTGATTTTTTTTTCAAGACATTCATATAGAAAACCACTGACAAACTTTGACAGTAAATAGGTTGGGGTTTTTTTCAACAAGTTTTACTGAGCAAGTCCCACCTCTATATATAGACCCAACTTTCTGTCCGCACCCTTGGCTATTTACAGCTGCGTCTGCACAACTTTGCTGGGCAGCCAACAAGCCTCAAAGTGGAGGCTGTGTTTCTGAGGGCAATGCTGGCATTATTTTCCCTGGTCTTGGTATAGCCTGAGGTCAGAGGCTTTTAAACAACTACAGTTGGCTACACAAATATAAAATGGTGCTCGGTTGGAGAAAAGGTAACTTAGGGCAACATAAAGAAGACCTAAAGAGCCTATTTAAAAAAAGAGAATGACCAATATACCGAGTCACCGTCTCAGGCGCGTTTTCAAGTCAAACAAACTAGGGTTGCAACCTGCCAAATATAATAGCAGCATCTATCAAAACTGGCACCTAATTATGACTGAACAAACCTGTGATTTAAAAATTCTAAAGCTTTATAAGTCAAATTAGGTAAGTAACATGTTAGAATAATCCTTCTTTGTTGGAGTATTCTTAAACGTATTAAATTGGACTTCCCCCACTCATCATCGCCAATGTGCCAAAAGTCAACAGATTTCCATAAATCTAAACTCTTCTTCTGCCAGAAATATGTCCTCTCACACTAACTCCTCTCTCTCTCTCTTACTCTCTCTATCCCACTCTCTGTATGTGTCTCAATGCATTCCATGTGTCCAGAGGCCATTCAAGGCCAATTTATACAATGCAAGAATTCATGGTAGAACTGTCATAACTCAGTCTCTTGTAGACAGATCAGAAAAGTCTGTTTACAATTGCATATTGACAATAATTACATTATACATTTAAAATATATTTCCATAATGAATCATCGCCATCTTAGTAGCTCTAGTTTTGTTATAACACACTGTGTTATTACAGAAAAATATAAATTTGTCTCTGCTTAGTCTAATTTTATAAGCAATACTTTACTGAGAGCTTTTTTTTCTTGCACAAAGTCTTTGGTCCCAGAGCCTGACAGTCTTTCAAGCACCTGACATGGCATGGGGCACCAAAATGAGGAGCAAACAGCCTTCTTACTCCAACATGTGGCCTCATGTTAATCCCCACATTAGTCTTCCCCTCTCACTGTGAAATCTCTGGCAGGGCTGGTGCTTCTTCTCCAGCTTGCGCATCTCCCCCCGCTTTCCTCTTTTTCTCGGGCTAATTGCAGGCTCCCAGACCCGCGGGAAGGCTGCCTGATCCAATCAGAGAAGAGGGAGGCTCTTTCCAAGCCTACTGGGGTCCCTTGGTAAACATTTAAGGCATCTGTGGTCAGCCTTCCTTCCCCTACCCTCTACCCTACAGCACACCCATGCATCAGAGCATCATAAACAAACACAAATGCGTGTCTTGCCATGGCATTTCACTACCACTGGACTGTCTCTGCCTCTCTATTAATCATCTGTGTTTGTGTAAAAGGTTCTCCCGTGGGTGGGAAGAAGCACAGAGAAGGAGGTTAAAGCTTAAAGGGGGCGGTGGTGTATGGGTAAAGTCAGAAAGAAAGAAAATTTAGGAGGGTTAAAGGTCACATCATGTTTGTGTTAGTGTCTTCTGTAGCTGCAGGAGAAAATTATGTGCACAGAAGATGGTTGACCAAATTAGAGATTCATCTTACCATCCGCCAACAAAACAATTGCAAACGGTGTGCATGTGCAATAATTAGCCCTCTATTGTGTTTTCAATCAGCACTTGCATTATAGTATTTTCTTTGTATGTTTGGTGTTCTTTATTGAACCACGGGAGGTTTCTCATTGACGAAGAACGTTGAGTCCTTTTTCAAGCAACACTTCAATCTCACTGATTTCTGGCTTGGGTTTAGGGTATTCCCTGACTTACTATAGCAGGTACACATTCAATTTGTTTTACCACAGATTATTGTCTCAATCTCATCCCCACACAAGTTCTGGTTCATATGCTACATTGTATTTAACTCCCAAGTCGGAAGTGGGATGGATCAGTATATCTAGCACAAAACATTCCAGTTTCCCAATATGCTAACCCTAAACATAACTGAACCGCAGAACCATTCTAACAACCAACAGTTGCAGATGAAAACATTACCAAACAACAAAAAGCAGTCATCTTTCTTTTGAACTTGGTGTACTCTAAAACTGTCAAGACCTGATTGCAACCTTAAGGGTTGGTTCTGTTACCACTTCCTCCCTGTGTCTTGAAAATGTTTAACCAGCGGTATAACCTTTTTGTATTTTAGTGGCACTTTGGTTTGTTAATTTAAGATGATAAGTTTCTTGGTCACCATATAAAAAGCTTGTTTCCAATCGAACCCCATGGGTTCAGTGAGTCAGTCTCAGGGGTTCAGCGGAGGACAAGACACACACCCGACTCATATGATGACACACCATCACCAAAGAGTTGGGGTTCATTACCTCCAACACGGGTAAGAACCACTGTCCTAGAACTTCCATGACTCAACTGTGTATATGGTCCAACTTGATGTTGTACACTTGAGACTTAGCTGTTATTTCTTTTTTGTTGCTTTGTTTGCTTGTTGTTAACACCGTGTCTGATATATGTACTTAAGGGAAAAATGGGGTCACTTCAAGAGTGTGCACATGGCTCTCTTTGAAGCGGTTGTTGCCTTTGACGGTCAGGTTAGATAGATACATGACCTGAACAATTTTGCTTCTGAAGCAATAACGTGAAATGCATCCCTTTAGTTCTATCTTCTTGTTTCTCTCACTACTAAATCTTTAATTTGTTGTTTCAATATAGATATAAAATACAGAAATACAGATATTCATGTTATATATAGATATATAATAATAATTTATTTGACTATATCTTTTAACGTAAGACCAGCATAACTTCAACATGATCGTGCATGTTATAGCAGACGGTGTGAAAGGAGAGTCTACACAACCGCAAGTGCAAAAACATTGGCATCTGAGTTTTGGGCCAAGACGAATAACAGCCTGGAGGTGTATTTGCATACAATGTGTGCTTTGGTTTACACATATGTGACAGTGTAAACATGCAGATAGTGTGAAAGCAGACACACACATGCATTTTAGGCCCATGTGCTTGTGTGTGTGTGTGCTTTCAGGCATTCAGATCTGGCTACTGGATGGCTCTAATGTCTCCTGCTTCTATTTCATAAGAGAGAGTGGAAAAGTCAGAGTCAGCACGCTGGCATGAGAAGAGCCTCTGCTGGAAGCAGATCAGCACACACACATCTGCAAACCCCTGCTGCCGTCTGTGCA